TAAACATCCTCTATTGAATACCAAGTGCCTAAACACAATTTCTGCCGGAAATTATAGTGCTGATGAGCAGAAGATAGGTTGTTATGAATGGAGGTATAAAAGCCCGACAGGGATTTTTAGTCACTGTCCTATTGTCTTTGAAATACATGCTCATCGAACCTCTTTCACTACACTAGAAGCAGTGGCGGCCGGCCCATAGGGGGCGCTGGGGCACCGCCCTCCCTGATAAGAAGAGAGAAACGTAAATATATTTTTAGAAATTAACTCATAAATGTCAGTTTTACTCTCTAGACTGTGTACCTATAAGCAAAACAAATTATATAAACTACATTTCCCTATCTACTGTCATTAATTTGTGGATTTCCACAGACAGACTCCTACCGTCTCTGTTCTGGGGGCGCTGATCAGACTGACCCACATTTGCAGAGAATCTGTCAATCATGTACTATTGCTAGGTGAATTTAATGGCCAATCAGCGTCTCGGAACTTTATGGTATTGGGGCGCTGAAAATACTGCGCTTTTACAGGCTTCTGAACCCAAGCGCAGGTGCAGACAGTTAGAGGGAAGATGGCGAATGTAACGACCGAGATGCAGCTTCCACCAAATTCGGTGAGATCCTTATTTATCTACCCGTTTGCCAGAAGAATATCCCTGTTGTAGGATATGAACATTTCATGTCATGGTTATTGTGACTGTGACGAATCCACCTCGTCGCTTAAAACAACCTCTCTAACTTTGCGCACCACACACACATTCTTGTTATACTGTGTTTGTGAGGACCAATACACTCGCGCTGAGACCAGTAGCTCCATGAACTTAAAACACACAAGCTGTTCCTGGTTACCTGCTGGCGTATTGAGGGTGCACACTTAATATTTCAGTGGGGTTAGCCGTGTGTGTGTGTGTGTGCGTGTGGGTGTGTGGGGGGTGTGGGTGTGTACGTGTTTATGCTACGGGGACTTGTCATCTTCAGTCTGGCTGCGTCTTTGCTGGGTTCAAACCCAGTTTGGTGTAATTGAATAAGTCAATGAATCTGTGTAAAAGAATTAAGTTGTAAAAATTATTTGTTTTTGTACATCAATTGTTTGTGGAGGTAATATATGGACAAAACTGATTAATGAGAAGAAATCAGAAAAAAGAGAGCCTGTAGGGGCTTAAACTATTTAATGAGGGCTGTGGGAAGAAAAGCGGCAATTTTTGTTTTCTGTTTCTTTGTTACATTGCTGGTAACTGGAGGGAGGCTGAGGCCCAGAGTATCTTGTACATGTTTAGTTTCTTTTGCACCCTGTTTTGAGTTTTTGAGCTCAATAAATCACCAACACCGGTAACCCGACTGAGCCTGGATTCTTGGAGGCCAAAGAACCCCGTCACAGTGACCCAAATCATCACTGTTACTGTTATTATATAGTAAATTAAATCATTACTGTTAAATTGTATGTATTGTCCAATTGTTTATTTGAATTCTTATTCTGGATTAGTTGGAGACATACACTAGGCTATATCAGCCCCACCAAAAATATTTTTCACCAGCCGCCACTGACTAGAAGTAAAAAATAAATAAATTCTAACATCTAATTAGTCAAGTACTCTGACCCAGATATAATTTACTGGATATGGAAACAGAGGACAATATGCTTGCAGGCAGTGTGTCTTAGAGGGCTATCTTATCTGTATAACACCGAATCCCAATAGATACAACTCACAATCTGCTCCTCCCATACATATCATAACCAAACTGTGCTGTCTGCCGGTATCTGCCCACCAAAGTCCTTGAAAGCATAATTAGGACTTGGATTCTGATGCATCATATGAGCATTTCTTAAATGTTTTTTTTTAATATTATGTATAAGATGTTTTTACTGATAGTTTGCTTCAGTTCCTCTAATTCAGATACCCACACCTATGTTAAAATATCAGAACTGTTGTTTTTCTCCAGTTTCACCTTGACATACTATGAAGGTTATTTCTCAGCTATATCGATCCGATCAGAGATGCAGATCACATTCTGTGGGAGTGGCTGTTTGGATAAGGGCTTTGAAGCTGATAAGTGTGACTGTCTGCTGACATTGGCTAGTGGCTGAACTCATTACACTAATGAATGTGGGGAAGGGTAGAGGGTTACTGAAAGATATGCTGTGAAGGATTCTTTGAGAGGAGAGGCGAGAGTCGAACAGACTGACCTTTTCAAAGACAGAAAAAAGAGAGATATAAGGGATATAGGCTGGCTGCGTCAGCACTATCTGAAGAGAAGGGCCCTAATGGCCGACTTGTACAAAATCATCAAGTTGTCAAAAAGTTCTGAATGCTTTTATGATTGAGTTCCCTAACGTGATATGGGCTGATGGAAAGCAGCTGTGGGATTGTTTTCAAATAGCTTTCCCTTCCACACAGTGTGGATGATGAATGCATAACTTGTGTTCATATTTGCTTTTTATTTGGTTTTCATAAAAGCTACATTGATACATTGGAAATGGTGATATCTTATATTTATAATGAAGAAAGTCAGCAAGCTCATGCAAAGATAGAAAGGAGAATTATTACCAAACTGTTTCCTGCCTGTATGCTGTTCTACCAGATGTATTGTCCTTTTCTCAGATACTGTTTGATAAGTACACTGTAATAACTTTAAAACATCTATAATATGTTTGACTTTCCAAACTCTATTAATGTAGCAATACATTCTCTATTCTGGTTGTTGGGGTTCCCAAATACAATACTGAAAGAAAACATATGTTCTCATGTTTCATGAGGAAGCTTGCTTCTACTTTCTCAGCTAGGGTTGGGAACAGCTAAACATTTCAAAGCTTTTGGATGTTTTCCTTTGTTACTTTGCTCAGAAGACGGAAGTAAAAAAAGGTTAAAGCTCATTGGGCTGGGTGACAAAGCTCTCTTAAGTCAAATCTTTTCATTATGGTTTTATAACTTGTGTGATAGTATTTTAGCTTGACTGAAGGAGATTAGACAAGTTCAGTTTTAAGTTAATAGTGGACATTGATTTTACATTATATTTAAAGATAATTTAAGAATTTATTGTATGATTCCCTCTCCCTTATTAATTCCAATCACAAAATAGGTATAACATGATATATATTTATAACATGATGCCCCAAGAGTTCATAAAAAAAAAAATCTCAGAAGTTTTTAATGCCATCTTCCCACTCTGCCATGACCCTCAGATGAGACACATATGTATCTTTAGTGGTTTTAAATTATGTTTGTTTAATTTGTTCCAAATTTAAGATACTGACAGGGCTGAATATGGTAAATTATACAGGTTAGTTAAATCTACACTGTCCTTAATATTGAGTATAATACATTTTATACAGTTATATATATTAGAAAACCTTTAAAGTTGAATAATTTTTAATTTATTCTGCTTTAGATAATCCAGATAATTAACTAAAAAGCACTATGCCATACATCCCTAATTACCATAGAACTGTTACAGTGAAATATTATATCATAAAGGTATCAGAGAGACTCTTTTTGGCCCAACTGAGTAAGTAAATAAGCATCTATCGGGACCCCTGTTGGTTACTAAATGGTATGAAATTAAAGATGACATCGTATACCCGCTTCAACAAACCTACCGTACTTTTGAACGAACAGGCAGTGCTGTGAGGGCCTATTCTTTTAATTTATTTAAAGCATTTAATACATAATTTGCTTTGGCTAACTTTAAAAGAATCAGATGAGGCCTCATCAATTGCCTGGATCAAAGTCTATACCTCACAAACACACTAGATTTTAAGGGTTGTGTGTCTAACCAGGTAGTTAGCAGGACAGGAGTACCCTACAGGTCAGGCATTCAATTAAAAAACACTGACTACTGCCATTAGAAGAAATAGTCTGATGACTCCAGTCATTGAGTGTATAGGAGATAGCAGGAAGGCCAGAACATAGAGCTGGTTTAATGCTTTGCAACAGATTGTAGATACAATCTACTGCAATATGAATAAATTATGGTAGGAAATGCAGAACCATTTTAAATCCAGGTGCTTTAGCAAGCTTCAGTAAAATTATCTCTACTGATCCTGACATGAAGAAGTTTGTTTACATACAATATAGACTCAAATAGGGATAGAAATTATAACTAACAGCCCTGATTATTGTTGACAGAATAAGATATATAATACAAACAGATTTGTAAGTGTTTCTAGTAGTGCATGCAAATTGTAATCTAAAGTTTTGACGTAAAAGCAGGTAATGTAAAAATAAATGCAATCTCTTCACTGCTAAGCTGCTGCTAATTTACTGTCTGAAAGCTGTACAAAACCAAATTTAATTTTGTATACACTCTGTGTATACGAAATAACAACAAAAGTTGTCTAAGTCTAAGGGCGTTTCTCAATATGCGTTCTTGAGCGTTCTCTTGTGCTCGTGTACTCGTGATACGTCATAAGCCTCAGCCCGAGTAGCGTTCCAATTCTCAAGAACGGCAGATCGAGAACGCATCAAATCCCCGAATGTTGTTCTCGCCCCCGCCCTCTTTATCGAGCATGCATCAGAGCAGACTTTTGCGTTCTTCAGACTGACCGCTTTCCCAGAATGCCCCGCGGCCGCAGCTTCTTTCCAGACAGCGCTCACAGTGGTAAGTTATTCCTCCCTTTTCTGCTGCTGTTGTTCTTCAAAAGTACGTTTTGAAATCGTTTGAGGCGATAACATTATACATTGAAGCCTCCCTGTGTGGCCTGTTTACAGAGTTAGTGCGAAATAAAAAAAAAAGTCCGACGTTGAGCGGACCAGAGTGACCAGCAGACCTCCGAGGGTAACCGCAGCTAGGGCTAATGTTACCCCGTCTGTAGTGCACTTATCTCGGTCTAGTTATGTGTGAACTACCGCTCGTTCTGATGGCGGTTTTTTGCTTTAATTCGGCCAAACGTCAAATGTTTTGTGTTTATCGGACTGCCTTGTGCTGGTTTATTAACTCAATACTTGCTGGAATAAATTGTAAATGTCTCCAAAGGACAACATTAACATCCAGAAAAGATCCATCATGGCTGAACGTGTGAAAAAAACGCATAACTGTAAGCAGAAGAAGCAGTTAGTTATCAGCTATTATATAGGTTGCAAAATGTGTTTGGTTTGTGTAAAGTAATAAATAATTTACATTTATATTTTAAACAGGGACCACAGAAGAAATCCAGGCCCTTATAAATTGACGCACTGAAAATGACAGCCTCTTCACTGGAAAAAGGAACTCCTCCAAAACCGGATGGGAGTGAGTAATTTTAATTTATGTCTGCCTAAATGTCCATCTTCAGCTCTTGTAACTCTAAACTTGTTTTTTTTATTCAACTAGTGATTTTGTGAGAGCCTCTGGCCTGCAGGTCACCGCAAAGCAGGCCAAGAAGAAGTGGCACAATTTGGTGCAAAAATACAAGGTAAAATAACAAAACTCCCTGCATAATATTAGCTCACTTTATGTATTATTCACACCACATTTCTGGTGTTACCACAGAAAACCCAGTGTTGAGGGATTGTACAGATTGACTAAAATGATAAACCATTTTTCAGGAGCTCCGAGACCCACCTACTGGGCAGGGGGTTGAGGCCGGTGGTGTGACTGCTGCCACCTGGCAGTGGTATGAGGTGCTTGATGCTGCACTCCAGGGGCAGCACAATATCAGTCCGCCCCTGGTTGTGGCCAGCAGCTCGTCTGACTCTGCCGGTGGGGGGGTCACGACCTCAGCCTCTACCCCTTCCTCAGCATCAGGAAGGACAGAGAGGCAGGCCAGGAAGAGAAGCAGTGAGGTCCTGCTTGACTTCCTGAAGGAGCAGGCTGAGAGGGATGAGGAGAGAGAGAGGGCAGCCTTGGCTAGGGAGGAAGCCAGGGACAGAGAGGCTTCTGAAAGGGCCAAAAAATATTTGGCCCTATTTGAAAAACTGGTTGAAAAATTATAAATAAAATATCTAAATGTTTTTCCTTTCTAAGTGAGTTTCTTCTGAGTGAGGACACAAATAATTGAGAGGAGAAAGAGAGGGAAAGAAAACTAGTAACGGTATATTAAAAAAAGAAATTTATTCAACTTTTGAACAGATTCGAGGTTTAACATATTCAACAATTTATTAACAGTTACTATGGAACAGTTACTATGGTTTAAAACAAAGAAATAACTTCTATTAACATCTTACACAACTAGACAACACCTACAAACATACAATTAAAAATAGTTTGAATGGAAATGTTCTGATTATTTAACATATTTCTACAGGTAGTAAAAAAAAAGAAATGAACCAGCATGTGAACATGACTACATCTGACCTAGGTTAGGTCAGATGTAGTCATGTTCATTTAAACATGCAGCCAGCTGTGCTGGAGCAGAAATCTGGGCTGCCAGTCTGGCTCGGAGGCAGCTTCCAGACAGCTCCCTGTCTTCAGCCGCTGGATGGCCATCGTCTTCTGGGTCCTCCTCCTCCTCCATGTCAACCTGGTCATCTGCCTCAATACCAATATTGTGGAGGGTGCAGCAGGCGGCGATAACCTTTGGGGCAAACGTCGGGCGGACCTCCAGCGCCCTAAAGAAAATGGAACGCCACCGTGTCTTCAGACCACCAAAGGCACGCTCAATGATGTTTCTTGTCTTGGCGTGATGCCTGTTGTAGCGTGCCTCCACTTGACCTGTACCAAATTTAAAATTAACTTTTAATTAAGTTAATATGCTAATATGTTTTAATGTTTTATCCAATTAATATAATCTTAGTATTAATTTTGTATCATTGTTGGCTCTATTTATGGACAAGAAGATAAGAGATCTTACTGGCAACTGGCTGGCAATAGGGCGTCAGGAGGGTGATTGGGTACCGGAGGCACGGGTATCCACCATCACAGAGTAGAAAAAAGCCCTCAGGTGGGTATAAAGCGTTTTTATACAACGGCGAGCGCCGCAGTACCCGTGAGTCATGGACAGAGCCGACATTGCCGATGTAAACATCCAAAAACTTTCCCTGTGCGTCACACACACCCTGCAGTATTATTGAGGGGAAGAGTTTTCTGTTTATGTAACACCTTTTTTGTGGCTCTGCAGGTGGAACAATGCGCACATGGCACCCATCAATCGCACCAACTGCTGCCTTCAAGGCCTCGTTCCCGGCAAGGTGTGCAAAACCAGCCCCCAATCCCTCCAAATCTTGTTCTTTGGGCAGAACAATGATTTTTTGAATGATGCCCATTAGGGCGTTGACAATTCTGTGCACCACCCGGCACACAGTGGACTGGGGCATCCCAAAGATGTCAGCTGTTGCCCTATATGATGCACCGCAGGCCAGCCAGTAGAGGGTCACCAGCACCTCTATCTCCTGCGGCCATCCATGGGCCTTCTGGATGGGCAGCAGCTGAAGGAGGAGGACGATGGTGGCCCTGTTTAGCCTGAAGGCTGGTTTCAGGTCCCCTTCATTAAAAAATGTTTGGAGGATTGGCACTGAGGTGTTAATCCTCAAATATTTTGTTGCTGTTTGTTCCTGTAAATAAAAAATGCCAAATGTTACCATAATTGTTTTTTATATTCTTACCTTTTTACAGCGTAAAACTATACTTGGTTAACATTCAGATTCATATAATTCTCAAGAAAGAAAAGGTAAAATAGTGTTGTAGAACTAGTCGAATATAGTAAATTTAACAACTGGCTCCCCTTCACTTGTATTTTTACAATTTAATCTAATCTGAATTTACTGCACAGAATTTATAATCACTGTAAAGGTGGCCAGACATAGAAATGACTCGTCCTTTCTTAATATTCAGTGCTGTGAAGGTCAGTGGGTGCAAATAGCTTAACCCTACTGCCATACTGTTACTAATGTGAATATTGGGTTTTAGTTCTAATTATTTATAGATGAATAGTCACAATTTTAACGTGATTATGTGTTTAATGGCATCCTCAATGGTTTTTTTTAAAGATAAAAGTAGGAAATAGGCTTTCTTAAACTGGTTTCTTAAACTTGCCAACTGGTAGGATCTTAAAATCCTACCAGTTGGCAAAGATGGGCGAGCAGAGCCTGCCTTCTTAGCCTCCTCTGCTGCATCAACCTTCTCCTTTTTCTGATTTGCCTCCTCAACTGCGCCACCTCCTGTTCAGCCTGCTGGTAAAGCTCACCAACTACCAGAGCAATAGCAATATTGCTCGTATTGCTCATTTTTCTTCTATAAAGTAATGATTTTTCTCAAAGATGTAATCAGCTCAACCACTACGACCAGTACAACTCCCAAAAAAGAAACTTTATACCCACGGTTTGGTAATTTTTAAAAATGTTTTTTAAGCTTTAGAAATTAAAAATATTGTTTTCAAAATGTTTTTATAACCACGGTTCGGTAATTTTTTAATGTTTAAGCTTTAGAAATTAAAAATATTGTTTTCAAAATGTTTTGTGTAGGGAATAAATAATTTTGACTGTTAAAGAAACGCTGCATGTGATGACGTCACGAGTACGCTTCTGCTCCAATACACATACGTGCTTGCGTGCTCGCGTTCTCGTCAAGTCCGATCTTCCTGCATTCTCGCCAAGAACGGACTTGGCGAGAACGCGAGTACGTACTCGCGTTCTCGTGAATTGAGAAACGCTATAAGTCTTATCTCTTCTATAGAAAAACGACCTGGAGATTTAAGTTTTAAGTAAGAGATTGTTAAAAACTTTGAACGAAGAGATGGAAATGTAAATGCTTTATGGCATTATGAAAGATGGTACTGCAATACAGTAGTAGAGTGCATGAAAGTACTTTCACCCCTAACAACAGTAAGGTAAAATGGTGAAAGAGGTCCTAGGGGGTTTGACTGACAACCTTGCTAAAAGTTTGAATTGAAAATTACTTCCAGAGGGGCAAAATGACAGTGAGTTTCCGGGTGAAAAGGCAGGCACTCTCAGAGAGATGTAGCAGAGGCTGAAGCAGAAACAAAGATCAATTCAAAATGCCATGGGATTTTTTTCGACTTCATCTTCACAAACAACTTCAAACATGGTGGAGGAAGGTGTCTTTTTCTAGATTTTCTGTATGTCATTAGAGAACCTTCAAGCTGTCAATGAGGAATCACTCAGACAACTATTTTTCTTTTTTTGCCTCTTGCTTGCAAACCAGTCTAATCCCCTTGTGTACTTAAAACAATATTTTGCTAAAAGCTCTAGGAAAGACATTCATGAACAATTCATAAAGAGTGAAAAGGGGAAAAAATGGAAAGCGATGCACAAAAACAGCAATATTTCTTTATTTTTTTCCTGTTTAAAAATACATTAAACCGTAAAGGACAGTGCAAACTGGGAAATCGGTAAGATTTATTTTTGTGACCTCTGTTTGACACCATCTTCCTTTCTATGCATCCTCATTAAGTCAGTACTTCTGTGCCATTTTTCACCTTTGTAGTTCTGTATTAAGAGGGGAATTAAACAGATCTGCAGCCACTGCCTTTAAAAGCTAGTTGAGTTCAAATATCTGTTAAGAGTCTAGTATGAGTCACCTCATCTTTGAGCTCTACAACAATCATGCTCATTACATTATCAGTGGTGCTGTGGTGGCTACAGTCAAGTTGTTAAGGTCTAGAAACTTTATTTAAAAACTGTGTCATCTAAGAGCTGAGCTTTGTAGGATACTTACATTTTTCACTGCAAAACGAAGAGAGAGTCTTGAGAAGTCTTTGCCTAATCTCACAAGAATGTGTAGGCTGCTTGGTAGGATTAACAGGCATATTTCTAGAGTAAAATTGAAGGTATAGTTTTCTGAAGAAATAAAAATGACTTTTTGGAAAGTCAAATTATGTAATTATATATAAAAAAATTATTTGAATATATCATACCACTGTTTAATAGGTATAGACTTCAGTGTTCTGGGTGTTCCAGTGCCATGATCAGAAGATACAGTATTTTCAATGGGTAATTGAACGTAATTACTCAAAATATAGCCTTAACGAAAAGTGACTGGAAAAGCAAAAAAAAGAATCTAAACCTCAACAAATCCACACTGAGAGTATCCTGAAAATAATTAAGCGAGTGAGGTCAAGAGTGAGAACCTGTGGCTTGCACCCCCAGACATATTTTAATTCCATTATTGAAGTCTAGACATTTTCACAGCATTAAGGAGCAAAAACATTATTTTGACTTTTGAAAAGGCTTGGCAGTGTATTTGTTTCTCCTCTCTCTCCTGCCAGATATTGTAAACTTGATTTTATGTAATGTTCCTTTTGAAGGGCTGCTCAGTGGCGCAGTGGGTAGCACTGCTGCCTTGCAACAAGAAGGTTCTGGGTTCGATTTCTGGCCCAGAGTCTTTCTGCATAGACTTTGCATGTTCTCATTGAGGATGCGTGGGTTCTCTCGGGGTACTCTGGCTTCCTCCCACAGTCCAAAAACATGACTGTTAGGTTAATTGGCTTCTCTAAATTGTCCTTTGGTGTGAGTGTGTGCGTGAATGGTTGTTTGTCCTTTGTGTTGCCCTGCAACAGACCTGTCCAGGGTGTACCCCGCCTCTCACCCATTGAGTGCTGGAGATAGGCACCAACACCCCTTGGGACAAGTGTGTCAGATAATGGATGGATGGGTTTCTTTTGAGGATTATGGTTAAAATGTGTCACAAAAGACATTCCGGTACAATTAAAATTAGTTGCTTCATATCTACTTGAATATTCAAAATAGACTCCCCGATCCTATTACACTAATATGTTGATGATGGTGCCTAATATAACACGTTTCTATTATAATCTTACATAATGCTTCAACAATCATGCATTAAACATCTCTATCTTTCTCCTCACTGCTCCTCTTGCTGCTTGGCCCAAAGAGGAGTTCGGTTTGACTTGGCTTTTTCCTCCATATCCTGTTTTTTCTTGGGTGAAGAATATAAGCATAGCCAAAAGCTAAACTGATAGAATTAAAAACAATATGCATTTCAACATTATTTTTTAATGAGTTTTTAACTCGTTATCATGAAACGAAACTAATGGTTCCCTGGTTCCAGAGCAGCCCAATAAGCTAGTAAATCTAGCTATTAATATGTATAAATATATATTAAAAAATGCAAATTTAGTCAAGTATATAAAACAAATATAGTGCTCTACAACATTACAGCAGTTGTTGATCAGGCATTTTGAGGCTTTCTGAAGAACAATTTTTTTCCAACTTTTTTTTGCCATTACACTGTCACAAGTACAGAGCAATGATATGACCTTTCTGCATTTAACCCATCCCCTCGGGGACCAATGAGCTGCCACTGTGCGGTGCTCGGGGAGCAGCATGGGGTTATGGGTCTGTTGCTGGGGAGCCAGATTGGCGGTCTGTGGGAGTGGGGCTTGAACTCAGACCCTCAGGTTTCAAAGCTCTAAGCCCTAACCACTAGGCCGTCACTCGCTACAGTGTTGACTCTTGACGTAAGGGAAAGAAAATGTATTATTATTATTTTGAAAATTAACCAG